CCATATGTAAATCCTTTCCTTTATTCCTATATCTTTCTATTAAACCCCTTAGTAAATAGATTGTTTTAGTTGTGGGTCTCCCCGGCATAAATCCAAATTGGTTCTTCGAAAGAGAAGTCTCCAATCTCAACCTATGTTCAATCACTTTTTCTCACAATTTTATCGTATGGCTCATAAGTTTTATTCCTCTGTAGCTTACACAATTTTGAATATCTCTTTTATTATTGTAAATAGGAACTAAAATCATTTTCCTCCATTCATCTGGTATATTCTTGGATCGTAAAATTTCATTAAAAAGTTTGGTTAGCCACAATTCATCATTCTCGCCTAGATATGTTCAAACTTCAATAGGAATACCATCAAGCCCAATGGTTTTACTATTTTCCATTTTCTTGAAAGCTTCCTTAACCTCTCCGATGCAGATCTTGCAGTAAAAAATCAAATTCCGATCATCTTCACTAATTAGCAAGTCTTGTAAGTTTTGAGCTGCACATTTGCTTCCCTCATTCACTATACTCTGCCTGTATAGTAGCCCTAAGCTCAGATAAAGGAGGAGGGTTGTGTTAAGTCCTCGATAGCCAATGTAAAAATTTGTTGAATCTCATGAACATAGGGGGAAAAAAAAGAAGAGATAAATTATTTATTTATTTATTCATGAGTAAAGTGAAAAAAATAACACTTAGACATTTCCAAAGGGTAATTCATAAAAAATACCAGACCTTTTAAAATAATTATAACTTATAAAAAAAATAAAAAGGAGCACCCATCATATTCTTTTTTTTTTTTTAAAGTATTATTATCATGGAAAGTTTAAATAAGTTGACTTTAGGAGATCACCACAATTAAAACAATATACTTATGGAACCGCCAAGACTGGGTTTTTTTTGTAAATAAGGATATTGTGGCTTGCCATGAAATCCCATTTTTTTAATAGGAGATACTATAAGTTACATATTAACATTGTTCTTATATCAAGATTCGAAGGCATATTCCTGTATGATATGATTTGTATGTTTACTAGTTAAATCAATGTTGTTGAAATCTCATTTAATTAATTAAATTTGATTTCAACAATTGGACAAAGTTGAATTTTATTATTTAATACTCAATATTTTTAAAAAAATATATATAATGTGGATGTGGATTTCCTTTCTTTCTTTCTTTTTTTCCCCTGCCGTCCATAAGGTGGATTTCCATATCAATTGGAGGGACCGCATTCAATTCCATGAGAATCACGCTCCACAATCAGCCAATAAAAACAAAAATAGAAAAGGACCTTTTTGAGTATATGGACTTAAATTTCCATCCTACAAATAATAAATTCTAATATATATAATCATGCCTAATTTTCAACCTTTTATATATTTTCAATGAAATAGTCATGCCTAATTTTTCGGGTGTCTTAATTATTCAAACACAGATTTTGAAATAAAGTGTAAGATTGCATTCACCACTAAACACATAATTTTCTTTTCTGACCATTCCATGGAATCTACAAGAAATGGTAAAAGAATCCACCTTTTTTCAATTGTTTGATCACTTGATGTGATAAGTAAGAATACATTTCTTATCTAATCACATTCACATATATTTTCTTATAGAACAAGAAAAGAGGATAATAACATTTAAGTACCAAAAGAATGATCTAATCGCAGGAAAATAAGTTGTAATGAGAAGTTTTCATTGTGAAAGTTTCAAATGTAACTCCAGTTTATGACTGAACTTCTCGTCTACAACATCTGAATCGATATCTGCAATTCGCTTTTCAGGATTTTGTTTTTTGGGAGACCTAATTATTATTAAATATTTTTTTAAAAGATGGAAAAAAAAATCATGTTTTGAAACTTAAATGTCATCAATTATTCTTAAACAAAAAGGTTTAAGGATCATCAATGGGATCATTATGGAATTAGATTACTCAAATCAGAATAGAGAATAGGATCAAGCAAGTTGGCTGGTGGAGGCATTAATTTACAATTTGTCCCTTTCAATGTGAACAATGCGAAATTTTAACTGGAAATGGGTCCCCTTCACTTAATAACGTTGCTTTTAAAGCAATTGCAAACATTGGTGGAAAAGTCGTCACAAATTAGCTTCTTGTTGTGTGTGTGTTATTTTAAAATTACTCTTCTCATAAAATACTGTTTTTATACATCGTACAATTATTTTTAAAATCATAATTTGATTTTTATTCAAACACTCCCTAACTATAATTTTGTTGATAAGACCTTCCCGTGTTAAGTTGGACTGTTGTTGTTTCAAAACTACTATTGCTTCTTTTCTTTTCTTTTCTTTTGTTATGAGTTTTTGTGGGTTAGGTTGTACTAATAATTTTTCTTTTCTAGTGTTTCTGGGTTTCAGCTATTGGTATTTGTAAAAAAAACTTTGTACAAGCTTTTATTTTGATTCCTTAATTTTGTAAAATATATTTTTATTTCTCTGATCTTAAGTCATTAACAATGCTAATATTAAATTTTAAATATTAAAAAAATTCTCAAATTCCAATATATTCAGTTTAATTTAGATTAATAATGTTAGAATTAGAGAACTGAAAAGATATCTTTTAAAATAAAGAAATCAAATTACTAACAAGCTGTTGGTTGATATGGTAATGATTCATTCTCATAAGGAAGAGAACACAAGTTTAAATTTCAGGAATAGTACTTGTTACCCTTGTTTCATAAAAAGAAAAAAAGAAATCAAATTAAAATTTTATACTACTAAAACAATTAGACGGCAAAAAGTATAAACAAAATTCACTGGTGAGCTTTCAAGGGTGGGAATTTGGAGCCATTTTGTAGGCACATCACATCAATCGGTCTAATTCTGAAAGTCCAAATTCCTCCCCTCCAAGTCTCTTCCGACAGCCTCTTTATCTTATCATATAAAATTAGTGGCCACGACTTGAATGTTTCTTGATCTGAAACTAAGTTTCGTATGGTTTGTAAGACTATTCTTTTTCCCTTGAGATTGGCTAAAGTTTCACTTTTAAAAAATATGAGCCGCAAAAATTATAAAATAATACTTACACCCTCTTTATCTTATCGGATAAACTTAATGACCAAGACTTGAATGTTTCTTGATATGAAACTAAGTCATTTTTTGTTTATAACGTTTTTTTTCAGTCATTTTACGCAGCAAAAAGAAATTTCTTCTAGAATGTTAGATTTGTTTAAAAATGAAATTTTTTAAAAATTTACTCTTATTTAAAATCATAAATTTCAATTAAAAATTAATTGTGCAAATTTTAATTAGGGACAATCCATAAAAAATATAATTAACATCCCATTTATCAACTCATAATAAAAATCTCAACGACACAAATCAACATTGAGATCTCTGTTAAAAGAGGTTGATAGTATTTTGAATAGAATTATTCTCAATAATAAATTACTAGTAAGAATTATTTATTTAAAAAACAAATGAATTATAACAAGATATGAGGGAAATATGATTGTAATAACTTATAAAACTATAATCTTTATCTTGGGATTGGTCAAAAATTAAAGTCTCAGTTGGAGAAAATATGAGCCATAAAAATTATACAATAGATTCCATGGAGGATAAGATCGCACATCATCTCCTCATCATCATGCCGTCCTATAACTAAAAGCGGTCAAAATTCAAAGCTATATAAACTGTCTGGGAACATCTTACAATAGAAAATTCTTCACGGATTTAAAAGTATCATGCATGTGGATTTAAACAACTACATATATATATATATATTTATATATATATATAAGGTCTTTCTTTTAAAAGTCATACATATCCACAAAAGTCATTTTCACAGCTTGTTCTTCGTCGAAGTTAATAAACCGGATATGTCCGTGTGTTCAACTATATTTTAGCCCTTTATACAAAAATTGTTGAAAAATCCCTCTTGAGGTAGTATCTCTTCATTAATTGTTTGTAACCCATTTTTAGCTACATACAAAATAAAAAATGTTTGCCAATTGTTGAAAATAAGCTTCTTGCTCTTGTCTTTATTATAAGACTTCTGGAAAAATTTGTACTCCTTTTTATAAGATTTTATGATAGTTTCAATAAGTATTAAATATTTTTTTTTATATATAAGAGAAAACATTAATATGATGTTAAAGTTAATGGCGGCAATACTTTAAAAGTTACTTAAATTTTATAACAAATTTAATATTTTAAACTATTTTTATCGGTACGTGTGAATTATTAGTTATTAATACTTGGTAGTAGTTTCTTATAATAAGGACCAGATGGAGTATAAGTTACACAGGCTAAACTCAAGTGATTTTAATAAAAAAATACTATTTTTTATTCTTAATATAAGAGCTAGTTGATTAACTTAAATAGATTTAAAAAATTAGTTAAATTAATTATTCATAATAAATAGGTAACGTCTTTTCTAAAATATTCTTGCTAATCAAGTGTACTGGTTAGAACTACCACTATACGAAAAAATTAATAAATATGAGAGACAAAGTGGATTGGGATCTTATATTCATGATCAAAATAAAAATCAAACGATTTTTTATATAAAATATTAGAGGTAATAATAAAAACTGTTATATTTATTTTTATATTAAAAATATTGTACATACCCTTGTCTTCGACTATATTCCTTCGGGAGCAACAGAGCTCTTTTTCCCCAGGGTTTTTGCCCTTCTCTACCCGGTCTGTTGGCAAATTTCACTCACATTTCATTTGATTTATTTCATTTTTACTTCTTTTTTTTTTGTCATATTTTTTTCGCTTATTCTCCTCAGCCTTTTATTCCCTTTTTTTAATTTCTAATATATTTTTTATATATTTACTACTTTTAAGTAATTTTAATTACATCTTTTCTTTACATAATTCAGCTATAGGTAGTTTACACATAGGACGAGAGGCATACATTCAACTTTAAAAGCATATGACATTATATAAATAATAATACACAATTTTTACAAGAAGGCTGATTAACATATAACCACAATAATTTTCACCTGAAATTCAAAAAGAGCAAGAGAGAGAAAGTGAGACAATTTTTATCTGTCCAAATAATCTTTACATGAATACACACGTCATCACCTCCTTCACACTCCCTTCTCATTCTTGGATCTCAAAAGCAAAAACTATCCCCCATAATAACATACACTTCCGTCCCACCTCATTATTCCTCTTATTTATCTTTATTAAAACCATCATCATCACTGCTTCTTTTCTTCTGGAATTTGATTTCTTCTTCAGAAAACAGAAGCTTGGAGTCGTCTTGCCAGTTCCTTGCTCATGAGCTTCCTGTCAAACCCAGAAGCAGCCAACATTCCTCTGTTTTCTTCAGCTCTTCTCAGAAGATATGGCATCACCATCTCCACCGGTCCGAACGGCATATATTTGCTCACCTGAAACCCTGCGTTGCTCAATCCGTACGATAACCCTTCTGACATTCCATATAATTGAGCAAATTCAAGCTTGTGATTCACCTTCCCCATCCCCAATTCCCAAGCTTTCGCCGCCGCGAGCTTCCCGGACTCCACGTTATGCGTCGCCAGGACCACCGCTCCGCCGGAGACAGCCCCGGAGCCATTCGCGATCCTCTCCAGCATCAGAGACGAACAGTCGTTGAAGCACTTATGGGTGTCTTCAATGGTGTTGTGAATCGGAGACGGTTGACCCAGTGACTCGGCGAGTCTTCCCTCTGTTGACATGTAAGCGCCTCGGACGAGTTTGAATCCCATTGGGACTCCCATTTTGTCGGCAACTTCCGTCGTCTTCAACAACCTCTCTTTGGCATCTTTCAGGTACGTCTGCATCGTCCCGAAGATGATGGGGTTGTTGCCTCTGTTATGCTCGACGGCGGAAGAGTACGTGAAGTAATCGATCGCCGGCTGGACGGTGGTGTGCTCGGCGTCAACCAGCAAGGGGATATTGGCCTGAACACATCGTCGTGATAATTCTTCGAGTCTCCGGTGAGCGAGCTCAAGATCAGATTCTTCTTCTGGTGTCAGAGGCTCTGGTCTGGTTTGAGTATGGTACAAAGGACTGGATTCTGAGAAAACCGGTAGGGTTTCTCTCTTCCATGGAAGATTCAAGCTTGGATCTTTCTGTTGCCATCTTAACAAATCGCTTACTCTTTCTAGCAATCTCATGGGACAAATCGCAGTGATCTTCACTATCACAAAGCTTACCTGCAATTACACAAAAAAAACCCACAAAGATCAAAACTTTAATCCATTAAACAACCCCAGAAATGTCAATAACTTTAACATAGTTTGAAAGGTGACACATTTACATTTTACAGGAAAACCATATGTAACGTTGTTCATGGGTTAAGTGACACGAAGCTTAAGCGTGCCTCAACGAGGAATCTAGGACTAGGAGGACCATGACAGGCAAATTGTACTTTTTGGCATGTGGGGTCCATTGAAATGAAGGAGCAGGGCCCACCAAAATGGACGATGGAGAGCAAAGCAAGCTAGTTGTATTTTGAATCACGAGAATTATTTGTACAATATTGTCCGACGTTCTCTAGAAGTGAAACAGAGCCCAAATTGAATGTACCACTTGTGTACAAAAATCTGGATTCAAGTGGGACAAGAAAAATACGAAAAAGGGCAAAAAGAATTTTTTTCGCTTTTTTCCATTTTCATTTTCCAGTTGTATCGCACCACCACCGGAGGGACCCGCCACCGCCGCCGCCGCCACCACCACCACCAACCCGCCCCCATGGTTTCTCATGCAGAAATGGAGTGATGGCCCTCGTGGCACGTTTAGGAGGAGTCTATTTTCAGACTGTTCGTTATTACTTGAAATGGAGAAACATTCACAGATATGGAAATGGAGAAAATATAAATTTGTTTTGTCGTTGTTATTGTTGTTGGGGGATTTGTATATTTTTAGGAATGATAAAAAAAATAACTAAAGAAGAGATAATTTAGGAGCTTACGGATGACGGTGGAAGCGATCTGCTAACGTCAACGGTGTGAAGGAATCCGTTAAGGTTACGATCACAGGCGTCGTTGTCGTGGGCGTCTTCGACGCCGTACACGAGCATGCCTCGTAATCCTGCGTCGGTGAGTCCCTTGATGCTACGAGCGGCGGTGGCGGCGTCCTCGCCGGCGCAGAAATGGTCAAAGAAAGTTCGTCTGACGGCGGCGAAAATGATGTTCCGAAGCGGCTCTACCTCCAAGAGCTTGGACTTCATAACCCACATTCCGAAATCCACCATGGATTCGGATGCGGTTGCATGCAGGACAGCGGAAGATCGGAGGAGCTTGGAGGTAGGGACGAACGAGAACAGCCTCTGAACGTCGTCGAAATTGAGGAGACTCTCCCCGGTGAGGGGGCCGGCGGGAGGCTTCTGAGGGCTGGACGTTCTCTCAAGAAAAACGGGGGGTTCAACGGCGGCGCCGGCGGCGGAAGCGGCGGCAGGGGAAAGAGAAGGTTGGGGGTAGTTGAGAGGCTTGGTGGAGGAAGCGGTGTTGTAACGGACCTTCCGGAGGATTCTTGGAGGGATAACACGGGTGGCCATCAACAATTGCAGCGACGTTTAGAGGATCACCGGAAGAGGAAGAAGAAGAAGAAGACGGCGGCGGAGGCGACGATCTCTGGGATGATAATCTAAGGAAGAGGAAGGAATGAGAAATGGGGAGCTGAGGGAATGTAATATGTGAGTGGAAATGTGAGGCGAGAGGGTTGATTTATAGGCAAAGAAAGAAGAATAACGTGTCTAGGTAATTCAAATGGGTTAACCTATTTTAAAGGGTAAAATTGCCGCTATATATTTTTCTGCTATATCAAGAGTCAAGACAGACGTGTGTCCACGTCATATTTTTAGTTAGTGTGATTTGTTACAGCTATATATTGAGTTACTACATATATATTTTACTAAGTATGTAGTAATATTTGATTAATTTAACTGTTAGCAAAAAAATTTTTTATAGCAGATTTAACTATCAGAACCTCATGAATCGAATCAAGATTGAAATTCTCATTGTAAAAGAGTATCAAATTTATCAAGTCTCGAATAGAATTGTCAATTACTTTCAATAGAGGGTTAGGTATAGCATAAAAAAGCATTTGATTTTATTTGATATTATTTGACTAACAGTATACAATGTTAGTTTTTTTTTTTGACCAAAATAATACAATGTTAGTTAACATCTAGAATTCCCCTACTTATTTTCAAATAAATGTTCGTTTAATTATATTATAATTTATAATCCCTATAAAAAATTGTAGAAAAGTAGTAATTAATACTCCACGAAATTCTAAAATGAGAGCTATGCATGTACTCATTACTTAGAAAGAATGTATATTAATTATTAAATAATAACCAAAATTTGAAAGTTACTTAATTTTATCAAATTGGGTATTAATTACAATTTTTAAATTGTACCCATCTACAAATCTCATTGATTGCAATTTTTATGACTTCTTAAATGTAATTAACCGTATTAAGCACAGGTAAATAAAATTAATGACGTAACCACCTCCTATTAATTTTAATAATATTCATGTCACCCATTGTACCGATACTTGAAATTCACTGGAAGAAATAAATCATTATATAATACCAATTAAATCATTATGACTTGATATTGGAGCATTAAAAATCAATTTAATTTTATGACAAATTAATACTTTTCAACTATTTGTATTCAGTAGTAATTGGTCAGGAAAAGGAAACGTGTTAATTAGGTGGGGAATGGGTGTGGAAAACAAGATAGAAAGGGCGGAAAAGAGGGAAGGGACAAGGAAAGCGCAGGTATGAGCTGGCCATTTGGAACAAGTTGGGGCTGTAGAGAGAGAAAGAGAGGTGGAGATGAGTAAGCCCTTACGTGGATCCACGATGCCTATCTCTCTCTCTCTTTCTCTCTCTGTCCCCAACATGCATCTTCCAGAATTTAAATATAAATTCTCATCACGACACCTATATAGCATGCCTCCTCACTTTAATTCTCTTTCAAGATAACCGTTTTTATCAACTCTATATTATTTAATCACTTTCATCACCCCCCCAAATTTCATATTCATTATCCCCTTAATGTTCTAATTTTATGTTCTTCTTTTTTTTTTTTTAATGAAACATCAGGATATCCACTGACGGATCCGGTGACTAATCCCTTCACTGGTTTGTAGGTACCTTGATGGGTGGGACAGCTGGTTCGGGGTTTTAAAGCTTTTCTATACCCAAGACAAGGATCGAACCCTCGACACTTGGTTAAGGGAGGATGAACCCCCACCGCCCAACTACACCTCCCGGGTTTCCCGGGTTTATGTTCTTCTTCTTTTTAATGAAAAATAATAAACACACTCCTTCGTCACTTATTAAAAAGGGAAATTGCAAAAAAAGACCTTGGAATTGTAAAAACGCAGATAGGGACCCTTGACAACTTCACTTTGGGTTTTGACAAGAATAATATGCCCTGAAGTTGTCAAAACCCAAAGTGAAGTTGTCAAAGATCCCTATCTGCGTTTTTGCAATTCCAATGTCTTTTTTTGCAATTTTCCCTATTAAAAAGGCATTTTTTCAAATTATTACAAATTTTTTTTAAGAATTTGACGATGAATTGCGCGCCTGTGCATTTAATGCACATGTTCCTTCACTCTAATTTTAAAATATTTTAAATTTTAAATCTGGTAATACTAGGAGTATAACAGAACATCAAAAGTCATTTGTACTACAGCAAATGGGGTCCCCCGTGAGTTGTATCCTGAACAATAAGCCGGGACCGTGTTATAGCTGTCTATTTTTATTATATCACAGTACTCTTTTGATTTTATTTATAGGATAAAATTTTTTTTTCCTTAATCCTACTTATAAGATATTAAGAGAAATTTTTTATATAGATGTAAAATTTTATCTTTCATTTATTATTGAATTAATTTTATTTATATGAGATATGATGTATATTAAATAAGAATAAAATTGAAAAGTTATTAAATTTTAAATAAGAGTTAATAAAATTTAAGGTTTTTTATTTATATAAAAAAAAGTTAAAAATGACTTATAAATAGGATTACAAAAGTAATATATAATCTTTCAAAAGAAAAACAATAATTCTAAAAATAAGGGGGGGAATCCCCGAAATTCTAGAATCAGAGACCCACAGAGATTCAGCCCCACATGTGACATTGCCCATACGGACGGTTGCTTTCTTTGACCCGCTAAGCGACAACTAATTAAAGATTCTCCTCCAACATTGCCGGATTTGAATATTATAAGAACAGTATCTACTTCCTCCATTCTTCAAAAAGCATCCTACTATTATATTTAACACACTCCCGTGAGTGACTGTTGCTAGCATTTTCAAATGTATTGCAAATGCATTCCCCCCCCCCCCCCATAAATTCCCGTACTTTAAAGTTTAATTTTTTAACCTATATCAAATAATTTTTTAATTATTACTCCCAATTCAATGAATGGTACGGTTGAAATAATATGACTAACATATCAGATATTAGCAGTTAATAAACATATGTCTATTTTTTAATTCCTGGTTTGTAGCCATTCATTCATCTAAAAAAATCATGTGGAACACGTTTCAATCGAATACCCATTATTACTGCCAACTAAAAAGTTAACGAGCATAACCGCATATAATTTTTGTTCCCCATTTAGATAATTGTTTATTCATCTAAAAACCAAAATATCATGTTGACGCGCGTTTCAAAAATTTAAAATCAGCAGTTACGAAAATCAAAACATTTTTATTCCCGTATATATATTTTAGATTCTTCTTTCTTCTTTTGCAAGTTGCAACAAGCTCATGCAAGTTAAGCATCCAACTGTCCAGTCTTGAGATCAGTTCATGGTTTGGCGTTGGCCTAAAAAACATATGGTCTGACATTAAATAGTTTTTAATTGAAAAATACTACTTGGCTACCTGTATTACAAAGCACTTCCAACTATCTCACAAGAATTAAGAAGGGTGGTTAAATTATTAAATTAAATCTATTTAATTTTTTTAAAAATCTTAACATATGACAAAGAAAAATTGAATAGGAAAAATGTAATTAATTCTCTACTTTGTAATGAGCATTAAGTACCATTCATTCCTTCTATTATTTTGCGTAGAGGGAATCATATCATTTATCAATGAATAAATAATTTTTAAAATAAATTATTTTATGCTCTGGGCCTACTTTGCGAGGAATTTTAATAGAATTACCTAAAGTTAATGGGACAAAAAATGTATGGAGGCACTTTCGTGCAACGTCTCATCTGCTATAAGATAAACATACTAATTGATGTGTGTATGTGTGTGTAATGTATAATTCATTAATTTATTATATAAACCAATAATTCCTTAATATTAGGTTTTATTTGTTTATGAATAAAACCTACAAAATAACAAGACAGTTTATATATGAAAAAGTAACGAATACAAATATTTTTTTTCCAAATATATATTTATATATAATCAATTGGCCATGGCCTCTCGATTCTAAGTTTTTATAGACGTGATCTTCTACCATACTTCCCTGTCCTCTTATGAACAAATGGGGGTAATATGAGTAATTTTACTGTTTCCCTTAAAGACAATATGACGAAAATTCCTGTTTCCAACTAATTCATATTACCAAAAAAAAAAAAAAAAGTTAAATGATAATTAAAACATTGTAGTCGTAATAAATTTTAAAGTTTTTTATATTACTCTTATTAGTCATATTAAATCATACCATCATATTAATTTATACTTTCTTATTACCCCGACATTACAGTTAACATAGAAATACACAAGACAAAATATTTATTACTTCAACGAACGTATAAAGTGACCAATAACTAATAAAAAGAATCAAATACATTTTCTAATAGATGCCCTATATATAAGCGTGGAGGGTATAATTAAAACTATTTTTCTTTTCTTCTTTTTATTAGTCATCATCTTTTTTAAAAACTCTATTGATATTGCCAGCTGTTGGCTGTGGCCTCCTGAACCTTCCAAGTTCATATAGACATTATCTTCTACCTTATCTTCCACCACTCTTCCCTGTCCTCGTATAAATAAACATGTGTGTATATATAAAAGAACATTTATTATTTTTAAATACAATATAGACAATAATCACTAATCCATAAAACCACTTCTTTTATTACAAATTTATAATTCACTATCTTCATTTTTTTTGCGAACCACTATCTTCATATTATGTATACATGTATCATATATCTTTTTGCTCCCGTTCTACAAGGCCTACTCAGTTTTTCTTGCATAAAAAAAGAGATATGCATTACTTTTTATATATCAATGATAATTTAGTAATAATTATTTTTTTTATTACTTTTTAAAATAAAAACGCACGGAGGACAAACGCCACCGAAAGAAGACTGATCGAACTCTATCGACTATCTTGAATGGCCATAAGTAAGAGGGTCAGAAATCATACCAAAAAAAGACACTCTTGCTTGAGAGTGCTCATTTGGTGAAGCAGTGCTCTCCAAATATGGAATTCAGAGCTTCGAACAAATGAAAGCTTATTCGCCAGCAAACTGGAGAAAAGCAATGGGAAAACAAAAAGGCCTCAATAGAATTTCTCAACATCAGACTCAAACACGGGAGAAGGGATTAAATGAAAATATACTATAAGATAGTTTAAAAATGAGAAAGTAAATAAATAAACAAATGAAATAATCACTACAAAAAACCTATAACAAGATATAAAGCTTCCGCGAAGAATTGATTCCATATACCATGTGAAGAGATTGCAATCTAAATAAGCCAATTGACGGTAATGTTGCCAAGCCAGGTGAACAGCGGGAACTGAGCCAGAGCAATGAAGAGCAAGAGATAGTGATGTTTGGATGATTCATAAGTCCTCACCTCAGCAAAAAGGACCCTCTTCAGCGTTTTAACCAAGAAAAATCCCATGCTGAAACAGGCAAATGGCATCAAAAAGTAGTAAGAGTAACCTGACACAATTCTCCCGAGAACAGCCAAACACATGCCGGCAAAAGTATAGCCGGCGTATGCCATAATGTCTAGCAGGGGAGCCTCCCCACTACCCAGTGAAAACAGTGTCACCTTAAGCAGTATTGCTTGCATAAACCAACCAAGCAATCCCTTGATGAACAACCAGTTCAGAGCTTCTGGACTAAACCTGACCATAAAAATGGTAAGCTGTGACAAACCTTGGAGTGAAGATGAAATAGATGGGAGTACTACGAGGAGGGGGGAAAAAACTAAATTCTGTTTGTTACACGCCAAAATCCAACCACAGGATTCACAGGGGGAGGGGGGAGTAATTATGAAAAGCAATCAATATTATAAATATGATATGATAAGTTCATTACTTGAGTGGATTCTATCAAATTATAATTATCTAGTCCTAAGAGGAATTCAACATAAAAGTAATCAAGCAGAAGGGAACATTTTTATCAGCAAAAGGTCATCTATGACTATGGCCTACAAAAATGGAAACTGTAAAGCCAACTATAGTCTTCAATTTCTAATGGCAGGAAGCTTGTAACATTTTTCCATTGTTCAAACATCAGCATATTTAAAATATAAAATGATGAAAATTACTTTCTTGTAATAAGTTAACTTTGTGCTCAACATATAAGAAGTCCATTACTTCCATGGTTTCCATCAAATTCAAAAATTATATTTTCAGATAATTCAACATAAAACTAACGTTGCTAAAAGGGAAAAGAGGGGGAAAAAGTTATAGCATGCATTTACTATTGCGAGGTTCCTCATTGCAGACTTACATTGTTCAACCATTTGTATTTCTAAAATATGAGATAGAAAATTACACAATTTTTCTTGAAAGTTAGTTAAATACTCCTAGTACCTCATTATTTCAAAGCTATTATTCAGCTCCCCTTACATTTGATGTATATCAAAAAAATCTTTGCAAACTATTTTCTGCTAATGAAGTTAACTTTTTGGTTCAACATGCTTTCGGCTAAACGGAAGTAGATCATTAATGCTCCATGCCTTTCATCCTGTTGTCCCTCCAACACAAATTTTTGTTCCCATATTTCTGAACCTTTCTCAGAGCAATAAAAATTCAAATAATTGTGTTGAGGCATTGCAGAGAAGAAACAAAAATCATCTATTTGTAAATTTTTCCCCTAGAAAGCGGTACCAATTACTAAGTAGTATACAGAGTATAATGCGCATACTGGTTGCTGTCATTAATAACAAGTCTAGAGGCTCTAAGTAATCTCTAGTTCCATTACAAGTTTGGACAGGTATTTTGGAATTACCTATTTCAAAGCAGGTGCCTCGGCAAAAGAATTAACAGAGAATAGAACTTGTACAGTAAAAAAAGATAAATTACCGCAAACAACAAAGACAGTACACAGATTTACTGGTGCACATGTTGAGGGATGGATAACATTGCTCAGTGTCAATACTTGTCAATATTGTATAATTTTTTGGCAAAAGTATATCCTTGCTCCTTCAATTCAGAGTTTGACTTTGTCCCTTAAATTGTTCTCCTTAACTTTTGAAAACAAGTAAGAATTATTGACTCCTAACACTAAGTTTAACAGAAAATGTCCAAATGTGAACATTAAGCCAAATCAATCATCTATTGCCTATCCACTAATTCAAGTGTAAAATCTTTCTAAATCGTTCCAAGTCAAAACTTTTGACAATTGAGCTTTGGTTACAAACAGGGTTACATCCAGGTAAATAATTAATGTTGATTTTGTTTTTCATATTTTTATCATCCTTGTAACTGCCTGGGATTCAGAGAACTTCCAAGCTTATTGCCTTGGTGCTTTAGCTTTAGATAATTATGAAGATGTCATTGCATCATTATATCATCTTTCAAAGATTGTCTTCGCTTGCCACTGAAAGGCTGGTTGAGGCTGTTGATTAGACTTATTCTAGAGAATAAAGACTAAGAATGTAGTTAAAACACAATAATATAAATCCCCAGAGGACGGAATTCATATCATCAACATCTACCAAAGAATAAGCAGTCCATACTGATACCCTTTTCCTATACCTAAAATAATATCCCAAGGCTAAACCTTTTCGTTCAGCACTATTTTTCCTGATTCAACTTTGTGGGCTCGCTATAGAACTGTGCTTGCACAAAAACACAACAGCACGCAAGAAGCATGCTGGCACAAAATCCAAGCAATTTGGAAGCTAAGAAGTTTATCAATGAAGAAGAGATGCATAAAATGCCGTTTTAGCAAATTCACAGAACATCGTCTTTTTTCCCACATGCTTGATCAACGGTAAATTAAAGTAGCGGTAACTTGGAATGAATTTAATTATGCATTAGTAGCAGTTTTGCACCAAATCTTACTCATCATTTTAGGTTAAGTAAAGAATGTTAGCAATGAGAAAATTTTATTTATTTTGAAAGTTAGTGACAAAAATAAAATTAAACAAAACTTTTTAGAGGCAAAACTGAAACATAATGCATGGTAAATGAAATAAAGTGCATTTTTGCCTAATCTCTCTGTGTCATGGACCTAAGAGAAAGGATAATTCGAGTTAGAGGCCATCATATGCTTACTTTCCACGAAGACCTAAGGAAAGGCCAGCAAGAACAACATAGGTACCAAACGCCATTAATGGAATGTACAGGTCTGGCGCATTTATGTCATGAAATGGTGGTTTATGAGAGAGCCGCCCTCCCACTGGCTCGGTTATTCTTGTCCACTGACCCTGAACCAGAAAAGGGAGAAAAAAAAAAGCCAAGCAGGTGTTAAAATAAGATAAGCAATGAAAAGCAGGAAGGGACTGCGGAAATAACAAATAGTGGATTAGAGCTCACCCGATGCAGAAATGGGAACAAAACAACCTTCAATTTGTTCCTAACATAATGATCATTCACTTGAAAATAATACTGGGGATCAGAGAAATATCGACTTATCTGTCAATCAATTAAAAAGTCAGCTTTAAAATAAAAGGCTTAAATCCATGCCTTCAGAGAATATCAACAAGCAAAGTAAGCAAAGAGTTAAGGGGGAGCGAAGCAGGGTCTTTTTTGGCTTTTGTTTTTGTTCGTTTCTTTTTTGTTTTATTTTTTGTTTCGGTCTGAAGCAATACAGGGCCTGATTAGCTACCTAACTTCATTGCTCATCTGAATAGATTTATCACCCCAGAAAAAATTAATGATTCGGCTATACAATCATCAATGAATTTACATGCATGGGGAATAGAGTAGAAAGGAAAGTACAAGAAAATTACATATTTCTTCACAAATTTCAATGGAAGCGTCAAGTTGCCATGCTAACACAGTTTTTTTTTTTTTTTGGCCAAGGTCATGCTAACACAGTTGAAGTGTAAGTGCTGTTCAAATTATATGGAAACTGGTCAAATGAGGAAGCAATTAAATATCTACATCAATGTTCCAAGATCAAGCAATTTTCAAGATACGAACAAAGATTGCGGAAGATAGAATATATCTGATGGAAAATGCAAGGGCTTGAAATCCATAAACAGCTAAAAATAGGGCCAAATAGTGAACAAGATAAATACCACTATGTGTGAATCAAACCGGTGAATTCGATTATAAACATCAACAAGAGAAAATAAAAACTAGAATGCTACTTACATTGCTCTGGACATACTCAGAGCTTGACCCCAGTATTTTTTCACCGTATGCACCCAATCCACCTCTAATGAGACCTGAACTAGTTACATGAATTGCATTCCCAAAAGGATTAGGCTCTGATCCTGTTGGAGGTTGAGGTACCACAGTTTGCGATCCAATCTTAGCGTACATTCTTGCTGCCATCACGAAAGGCAAAAATCATTACCAGATGCATAAACTGTAGAGGAAGACAAGCTCATTTCTCAGTCTCCCACACATAATACAGATAAGGAAGCTCAACCGACAAGAAGCTATTTCACTAAACTATATCAGCTCAAATTATAATGTGATTCATGCCAAGAATTTTACAGAGACCCCACCCCTGTTTGCTTGTAGACAGTAATTTGCGACATTCACAGAGGCATAGAATAAACATTTCAATCAATCAATAACAAGATGGTCGTAAGGATGGGAATGCTTCACAGGTTAAAGAATGAACAATCTCTGGTCCAAATTGATTCAGCGGAAGAAAATAAAAGCAAAACAAGAATTACGCAGAAACGCTAGCTCCACTAATTGTTAATGATTTCGATCAAATACCATATTAACAGATACTCGAGTAAATACTGAAATAAGTACGAGATCTAGCAACGACATTACTGTAAACTTGCAAAGTTTAAAAACACACATACACAGTGACAAGGGGAGAGGAGAAAGCAATCTATCCATACATAGAAGAAACAAACGGAATTAAAGCATTATTGAGATGAGAAGTCGGGCTCCGAAAAAAAGGAAGTCGAGAATGAAAAAAGATACAAGAAGAGAGAAATGAACCTGAAGAAACTTAAATGGCGACGGTGGATACTGAGCAGAGAAATAACGGTCGGTGATAGAAATCTTCGTCGGAAAGGAAGAAGCTGATTTGATATCCGGTCCTCGTCCTTGGCCTTGCAACTCACCCGGAAACAGGCTTTACTGTTAACCAGGCTTGTTTTATAGCTTATAGGCCTGAGTTTGGCTAGTGGCCTATTACATGCTTATCTTTCTGTTTAAGTCTGGTCTGGTCTGAAATTTGTTTAAAAGCTTATATTTTTAGAAAATTCAAATTACAATAATTTTTTTTCAGAAAAAAGCTAAAATAAAAAAAACATATATAATAATTAATTTTTTAGTCTTGTCTTTTATTTAAATTTTAGTATCATAGGTACTGTTTTAAATCTTAATTACAACTTACAAAGATATTATTGAAAACTAGTTCTAATTGTATGTTAAAATTTGGGACAAAACTATGTTTAAGTACAAAAAAAATTAAGACAATAAATAAAGAGAAAAAACTATTAATTTTACAATGAATAAAGAGAGTATCATAATTTAATTAATATAATACATAAGTTAATTAATCTATCATTCTTAGAACAAAAATTTTCTTTCCTATTTTATTTATATTTTTAAGATTTAAAGATCATATTTTTTATTGATATTTTTATTTTAAATTATATTTTTATCTTTACTTGTCAACTAAACTTCAAAATCTAAGGAAGAACTAAGCTATTAACTATATATTAAAATTAAAAAATAAATTAAAAGAGCACATTAACAATATCATTAACTAATTTTTTTATATATTATAATTATAAATTTTTAATAGGCCCAGGCGGGCCTAACAGGCTTAACAGGCCTTTTAAAGGGCCTAAACCTGGCCTATTAACTTAAACAGGCCTTTTAGAGGGCCTAAGCTTGACCTATTAACTTAAACAGGCCTTCAAACAGGTCTGAGCCTGTCTCTTTAGGAAAACAGGCTAGGCCAAATACAGGTCAGGCTGTAGGCTCCTAACAGGTCGCCTGACCTGTTTCCACCCCTACTCATCTCGATGCTTTAGGAAAAGTTCTTCCTCTCGTTAATTCGCAGCGTTTTGGGGTAAAGGCTTGCCTATTTTCTCAACTCTCAATTTTCTTTAGGAAAAAGTAGAGCTTTTTGAAAAATATTAAAAAAAAATAGACAACCATCAATATCAATTTTAATATAAATAACGACATTAATAATACAAATTATTAAAGAGAACATTTAAAAAAAAAACGGCACCCTTTTTCTACAAGTACTTAATTTTTTGATATCTAAAATATTTTTTGCTTTAATATCTACAAATTAATTATTAGCTTTCATAATAAAGATTGGAGTGAGTAATAATTATAATTAAAATCCTTTGGATGAAATGTAAAAGGCGAACGGAACTTGATGTGCGCAGGGGCGCAGGCTCACAAAATTAGGTGACATATACATCTTAAGAGTAGAGCCGGTAATACGGGTTGAACTCGTGAGTTCAATCTGCCAATCCACAAAAAATGACAAGTTATGGTTAGCTAAAAGTTAACCCGTTAGCAAACAAAACTATTTAACCTACACCGCATAACCCATTGCCCACCATGGGCTACCCTACCAACCAGCAGGCCAGCCCGCATTTATTTTTTTTATATTTTAAAATTTTATTGATTATTATAATTATATTTTTGTATTTTATATCCTATCTAAAAGAAGTTAAAAAAAATCAATATCATTTGTTTGGTGTTTTCAATCAAATATTTGTAGAAAAAGTAAAAATTTTATTACTTTTTTTATATTGTATGAGAAAAAAATATTTTAAGAATGAAAATTTTTTTTTAAAAAAAGTTGGGGGTTGGCAAGGCAACTTGATAACCCACCGTGACAGATTAGAGTTACCTAAAAGCCAACTCACTATTACATGAGCCTTTTTTAACTCGCACCACTTAATCCTAACCAGCTATGTGCCAACTTGCAACCTGTAGGTTAGCCCATATTACCACCCTTATTTAGGAGGGCAAGTTCAAAACCACAAATGGTTCACTAATAAGAGTATGTATCTGGGATGCTCTATTTGAAGGCTGAAACGAACTTTAACCTAAAAATTGTTGTTTGTGATCACAGTGAAGTAGATGAGCTTTTTATGAAAAAGTCAGACTGAATGAGAAACTCAAAATTGCTGCTTCTCACCCACACCGTGGAGATAGAAAATTGAAGATGAAAAAAAAGGAGAAGGGTATTTAAATCATCCACCTAATTCAATAATTTGATGTTTATAAAAATATTATATGAAAAAAATTAACTAATAAAATTTAATTTGGAGAGTTTACTCTAAGCCCACAAATTTACAAAAATAAAATAATATTCAATAAACATGTCTACAAAAATCACGTTAAATATATCTAATTAATTGTTTTTCTGTGCTTAGAATTTTTTTAATAACAATTTTATATTCACATTTATTTTTATTTTTATTTATCCAATATATTTGGTTAAATGGTTTTTAATACTTATCAATTTTTCTAATAATATATTAACTCTTTTTATTTTAATTTATTATTTTTATTAAATCTAGCAAATTATATACATAAGATATATGTTATAAAACTCATGTCCTTTTCAGTTATTTTATATCTGAACTTATTTTTTCATTACTTATCCAAACAAGTTTCAATTTGTCAAACTAATTTTTTTATAAAATTCAATCCAAACATAAATCACATTACACTAACTGATTTTTACCTTAACTAATTCTTACAATAGCCAGATTGTAAAAAAGTACTCCTCCGGTCCTTATTATAAGACCCCATTTGACTTTTTATTTGGTCCTAATTATAAGACCCCAATCCATTTTGTCTCTTATATTTATGCATTTTTTTCCAAGATAATCCTTCTAATAATGATAGTTTTAGCCAATATACTTAATTAGCAAGGATATTTTAGGAATGACAACACTTATTTATTATAAATAACCAATTTAACTTACTTCCTTAATCTCCTCAAATAAATCAATTAGGTCTTATAATTAAGACCGGTGGAGTAACTTTTACCACTGCTATTCCAAACATATCCTAAATTATAATCTTTGCGGACTATAAAAGGTGGATGCTGTTGCTTTGTGCATTTTTAAGAATGTGATCTTGGGCTTCAGCAATAGAGTGTGGTGTTCGGCCCTTTCACTCAAAATGTAATCCTAGTTCTTGGAATTAACATAAGAGTCAAATAAACAAGGGAAAACTAATTTAGAAGTCTTTATAATTTTTATCAGTTTGGAATCAGGTCCTTGTAATTTTTTTTCTTTCTATTAGATCCTTTAACTTTCTCCTGTTAGGTCCATTAATCCCTACAGTTAAATAAGACAAACATCGTTATAACTTTCCGTTAAATTTTCTCCTCACCCACCCCTCCATTCACCCAACTCACTGTTCCTTCCATGGTAAATATCATCAGGCAGTACATCGAGTATGCTCTACAAAAATTATAGCATTTGGTTTGGTTCAGCTTTGAAGGCCAAGAAGGAAATGCGTTCTTGGGTCATGTCCATATAGCTCACAGGGGTAGGGGAGGAACACAGGGAATGAAGGCGAAGCAGAAAAGAGAACAAAGCAAAGAACCTTAAAATGGGGGTTTCATACAAAGTTCATTTCTTTGAGCTTGAATTACTAAAGTAGAATATTCAAGAGTCCAAACTAAGGGGAAGCAAATTTGAGATAAGAGGATAACAGAAAATAGAGAAACAAATGAAAAATAAACTAAATCCAACAATAAAGTAAAGATAAATTCTATAACTAGCATGGATTCAATTTAAGAAACCGTTTAAAGGGAGAGAGACTTGCGCAGATCCAGTATTAAAAAAAAAAAAAGGAAGAAAGTGGAAGTGGGCAAGTATATCAGATGAACAAGTGGGATGCAACTGGAATTCGAGGTGTTTTCACGAGTTTGATGGACGAGCTCATACTACTCATATCAGTGAGGTCACGAGAACAGCAGGGAAGGAGAATATGTTGACAGAAAGTTATCACGATGTTTGTCTTATTTAACGGTAGGTATTAATGGACCAAACAGGAGAAAATTAAAGGATATAATAAAAAGAAAAAAAACCATAAGGCCCTGATTCCAAACCGATAAAAACTATAAGGACCTCCAAGTTAGTTTTCCCAATAAATAATTGAGGAAGATTAAAAAAATTAATTAAGTTGATCAATTATAACAAATGTATGCTAACTTTCCTAACCCATTCTCTCTAATTATGTGTATTGAAACCACGTTTTAGTGAGAACCCTTACAATCAATAGAAATATTTTAGAAAATAAATTATAAATTTAGAAGACAAAATAAATTAAAGCCTTATATTTAAAACCAAATCTAACCCTTTAACTAGCTCTTATATTAAGAATTAGAGGTAGTACTATCTTTGATCCTTAATATAAGAGCTAGTTGAGGAGTTAGATTTAATCCAAAATATAATACATCAATCTATTCTCCGATTCTCCTCAAAATGACGCTATTTTTGGCATTTCAATGCATATTACTTCTTTTAGTTATTAATATAATAGCTAGTTGTAGATTCAATTTGATTCTAAATATAAGACTTCAATATACTTTGTATCCAATATTTATCAATTTTGCCACAAAATAATCCTATGGTGATTATATATGTTAAAGAGTTTCCAATAATGGGTAGTTCCAATGCATATTATTAACTTCATTTATTATGAATAACTCCTTTAACTAATTTTTTTTAATATCCATAAATTAGTTATTAGCTCTTATATTAATGACCAAAAAAAATATTAAAGAGGATAATTCAAAAGGGCCAAGGCACATCTATGACAAAAAAAATTGATTTAATTAATTTTCACAATATTATCAAATTAGTTATAACTTTTATACTCCTCCGATCTTTAATATAAGACATAATTAACTAATTTGAGTAGAGTAAGGATGTTAGTTAAATTAGTCAATATGATAAATTTTTTCTAAAATACCCTAAACATCTTTCTTAATTCTCTCTCTCCTACTTAATTATTATTGAAAAAATATTAATACGGTTAATTTTAAAAAAAAGATAAACATATATCTTATATATAGGACCAACATTAACTTTCTAATTAATTTTTATAATAAAGAGAGGGGAAGTATTTAGCGTCAGAGATAGTATTGTGATGTTGTTCCCACCCATAATATCAAATTTGTGAATAGAGAGCTCAAGGGGTCAATCTATTCATAAGGGAACAGCCTCATGGTGAGACCCTTTATAAATTAAAAAGCTTTTAAGTAGTTACCATTCCAATTATTATCTCATATTTAATTTTTCAATATAATATTTCATCCTCTTTGAAGAATTTCTCTTGATAAACAACTTCCCTCTTTGTCTTTCGTATTATGCACATACGTGCACACTCACACACACAACCTTTTTTTGGGTCTCTCTCTCTAATTAAGGATTGTAAGTAATAATGATTGAGTCAAGTGAATGGGAATCAATTCTCTTTATATAAGATCAAGAATTTAAGCCTTATAAATTTTAAAAAAAATGTTTGAAAGAATTACACTTAATGAATCCCAACAATATAATTCACTCTTTAGACTCAATATAATAAATGAGCACATATTTAATTAATTTACATACTGGGTCATTATTTTAGAGTGTTTACATTTTTTTATTTTAACCTATATATTTATATAATATAAAAGCTGTAACATGAGTCACCAACTATGCAGCCAATTTTATAAATGGCTTGTTCATAAACTAATTTGCTGTGCATCTAGTTATCATCCTCAATAGGTGATCTATTTTTTATTTTCATTATATTATCTGCTTGTCCATGTTCCAAATGCATACAAAAATCTTTCTTTTTTTAATTTTTCTGTCATAAGCCTTCTGAGCTGAAGATAACATTTCTTAATCCCCAAGATAATTGTTGATAATTAACAAACCCCTTTTCGTGATCAAATTCAAATAATCCAATAATGAGACTTGTATAGAGCCCTTTTCACAAAGTTGATGAGAATCACTAGTGGCCGTCGCAGCTAGCCCACTCAATAAAGGAGAAAAAGAAAAAGGCAATAAATTAAAGTAAAAGAAGTGTTCCTCCTTTGCTTTATTTCATGAGAAAATTGATCAAGGGTCTCTTGTTTAAAAATTAATTATGCGAAGTTACCTGAAGCCCTTAAGTGGGTAAGTGCAACTCTTCTTCAATTATAAACAACATATCTTTAATTATGGGCAAAATAAAAGATATTTTTGCCAAAGACAAAAAAGATATCTGTGCACAGCTCAAAATATACTGCACAAAATTTAAAAAAGTTATAGCTGGTGACAATGAACTGCACTCACTCACAAATCTTGGTCTTATCTTTGAATAATAAATTTTGCAATGAAATTTTTTTTTTTGACAATTCTACCTGTTAGAAAAGCCACTTCTAATTAAGGTAACTAATAATATCATATTGTATTGTGGTTTTTTTTAAAAATTAAGTACACATATCCTCTTATTAAAGTCTCTGTTCCACTTAAGAACTAGCTTGACATTTAATTTAGTCTTAAATATAAGATCCTAATCTACTTTATTTTTCATATTTATCTATTTTTTTTCAAAGTGGTTTTGTAGTAGTTTTATGTGTTAAATGTTTAGTTTTAGCTAATACATATGATTAACAAGGATATTTTAGGATTCAGGTAAAGAAAAAAGGTATCTTAGGAGATACAACATTTAATTATTACAAATAACTAACCCAAGAAACTTCTTTAATCTAGTCAATTTAGCCAACTATTTCTTCTATTAAGGATGGAAGTTAATATTTCAGAAGAAAAAAAAAAGAGTTTTATTTGGCCGCGCACATTTAGATATGGAAATATTTTTTTAATCAAAAAAATTAGCCATGCCATGTTAAAGCGATTCATCATCCATTTTGATGATGACTTGATCATTATCTTGGTGGAGAAGGAAACTGATCATAGTAATATCCATAAATTCCTTTCTGGGTTCTTCCTGGGTGTGTGATGTGCGTGTGTCTGCGTGAAGATGTACGTAACGAGGCCACTGTCGATGTACAGAAGAAGTCCGAGCGCCATGGAAGTGCCGACGCCGGATGCTCCATATTCCGGCTACCTGGTCATCACCGACGAGGAAGCCGACGCCGCAGACAGCTACTGCTGGGGACTCTGCCGACGCGGCAAGGTCAAGAAGCTTCCTTTCCCACAAGACAAGATCTTCACCATCGTTCATTCGTCGGAGCATTATCGGGACTACGCCGTTGAGGTTGTCTTCATCCCTGTCCCTGACCAACCTCTCTCTTCCAATCGCTATTTTGTCATCAGAGCAAATGGCAGACACAAAGGGTATGTATATATGTTCTTCCCATGATGAGTTCCTTAATTATAATTCTTGTTTTTCACTTTGATTGATGATTCACCCTCTAGTTGACATAATTAACTATCTTTGGACTGGAGGGAATCAGCAAGCTTTTGCTTAGAGAAAAAATCTAAAATATTTAGTGTTATTATAAGATGCGCAAGAAAAGAGTTCTAACAAGTTTCTACGAAGGGTGATCTGCATAAAGGATAAAATTCCCTTATTGCGTTAAAAATGGATTGCGAAATTGCAGCTTAGTCTTATAACTTAATGACAGAAAAATTCTCATTTAAATTGGAGGTTTGATAGTTTCCATGATTAGTCTTATAACTTAATGACAGAAAAATTCTCATTTAAATCGGAGGTTTGATAGGTTCCATGCAAGTGGGATTGTCGTATTGATGCTTCGGCACAAGTCCTTCTGAACAAAAGAAATTGGTTTGAGAAACTCAAGAGTAGCAAAATTGCACCAACAAGCTGTTTGATCACATGCTAAGCAACATTAAGGTCAAATTTTAGAAAGAGCACTTATTAGAAAGACTTTAATCTTAACGATCTCTGCCTGATAAAAATCAATCTTAAATCCAAAGTGACTTAAAAATACTCTGAGTTATCTCATAAAAAAAAGAAAGCAAAAACTGCCGTACGAAGCCTTGCTAGTAATTGCTTTTCTTTGTTTTTTATTAAACGAAAAAAGTCTTGATGCAAAAATTTGTCCTTGGTAATATCTTATACAAATATTGAAATTTATACGTGTTTTAAATTATTTTCTTTTTCTCAAAGAAATATTACCTTTTAGGAAACAAAATAATGCACGCTTATTAGAATATAATTACCCTTTTGCCCTTCTTTGCTGCATAAGGTAAAATTAATATTCTTGAATAGTTTACATTAAGATTATAATACATTACCTCCACTCCTTAATATAATAGTTAGTTGGATATTAAATTTGATCATAAACATAATATCTCAATTCAATTTGTCTTTCAAATTTATAATTTTTTTCCTAAAATATCCCTATTGATTGTAAGAAGTTCTCACCAAAGGATAGTTACAATGCACATGATTAAATAGAATAATTTAGAAAAATCAACACACATTTATTACAATTAACTAACTTAACTACTTTTATTAATCTCTCCAAACTAGTTATCCAGATCTTATATCAAGGACTGAAGGTAGTAATATGGAACACAAGGAAGAGTGACAAAAAAATGATGGCAAAAAAATACAAAAAAAAAAGGAAGAATCTGCAGGACATTTATTTTTTTGTTACACTAGCTTAATGCAGAGGGCAGAAATTGGTTTGAAATACATCAATGGATACTTGAAATAGTTTTGACCATTGTTGTGGCAAATTGAAATTGTGTAGGAAAGCATGCAAATGCGCAAGGGAGAGGGACATAGTGAGTTGCTGCTTCAGCAATCTGTTGAATGATAAGAAGCCAAAGGCATTTAATGTGAAGGACTTGTACCAAATATTCAAGATTCATACTCACCAGAGTGGTGGCTTCTTTGCAAGATCCATTGTTCCTGATGGCATCGCTCCCTCCTTCCTTAGGAGAAAAGGATGGACCCTTCACACCTCATCAAGATCCTACTCCAAGAGATCTTGCAGGTCTTGCTTCTTTTTAATCTTTCTTTTATAAATCCATGCTTTGGTTGGTTATATTAATTCTTACATGCATTAAGTGTTTGAGTGATAATTTGAATCTCCTCCAATTATCTGGTTAAATAATGAAAGAGATAAATACGGGGTCGATTTCTTTAGATAAGTGAGACCCATCACTATATTTATCTCTCTCTAGTAATATATTCTTTGTTATCAGAAAGATTTTTTATTTCATATATAGTTAATAGTTAAATTTAATGTGCCAAACTAAATCAATAAAAGGAGATTATCATATTTCTTCAATTCAATTAGATGTGAAATATAGAAATATACTTTTGCAGTTATAAAAGATGTTTTTGTTGGAAACCCCTCTTCTTCTTTTTTATTTAAAAAAATGGGTTTGTTGTCCAATAAAAAATAACAGTATGATCTATGTATGGATTCAGTTTGGTTTGTTTCTTAGATAACTGCAAGGACTAAGTCATTGTGTCAAAATTCAAGCACTAAATCAATACTCGAAGGAAAGTTCACTGACCAAAACTTCTATTTTTTCATTGATATTTCAAGTGTTTATTCATATTCATTTCCTATAGGAAGCTCTCAGAGGCTCTTGGTGTGGACACAGCTCTGAGATCTCAGCTCCCACCTTTCCACTTCCCCTACATTAGGCAACGCTCTGCTCCAGTTGTTGTAGGAAGATGGTATTGTCCATTTATATTTGTAAGGGAAGGAGTAAACAGGCGATTCAGGAGGCAAATGAAGAAGTCCATATTTTACGGCATGACACTTCAGCAAAGGTGGGAGGAGATATATTCTCATGGAAGAGAAGAGATCACAGAAGAAAACGGCGCCATTCTTGTGACTGCTGACGTGGAGAGAGAGGTGGTTATGGTGGGTGGAATGCAAGCAAGCAAGAGTGATAGGGTCGATCCTAATGGTTTTTATTGGTACAGAGCTTATGATCCACACAAAAGGACAAGGGCAAGTGTGGGATTGAACACAGCTATAGTTGAGAATATGAGATGGGTTGAAGAGGAAGGAGGGAGGCCTTGTGGGAGAGAAAGGGTAGTGAAAGTTAGAGAACAAGTGAGACGGTTGGAGGGTAGTGAATGGCAGAAACTTAGCTGCTATGTGTTGGTAGAGAGCTTTTGTTTGAGGAGACTGGATGGCAGATTACTACTGAAATATGACTTCAGGCACACCCAGAAGATCAGATTCAAATGGGAATAACTTAATTTGTGCGGATCAAGAAAAAAAATGCGGAAATCGCTATGAAATGCTGAAGAAGGAATGTAATCACTAGAAAGTTTAATAATAACAAGTTTCGATACAAGAAATGACATCAAATTCATGTTGCACACTTGTTATGGGATTTTTTATGATTACATTCCTTTCTTGAGACTTCATAATGATTCTCCCAAAAAAAAAAAAGGGCACTCTTCCTTTCACTCTAGCTTTGTCTATTTTGCGGTAATTCAGGACAAAAGCTGTACTGAAAATTATGTCATTCAGTTTTGCAGCAGGTTTAGTGATGCTTTAGTCGTGCACCAATGTCAATGTGAACCAATAAATAAGCAGATACACAGCACAACAATTGTACTTCAGAATCAGCGAATATATTGATATTGAACTTGGCAAATGGAGTATCACACAGGTAAGACTCAGATAGGTTCTAAGTCAACTATTTTACATCAACCCAACATCCAAAGACTAAGTTAACTGGAAAGTGAAGTATCATACAGGTAAGGCTCAGATTGGTTCTGAGCCGACTATTTTGCATCAAGTCAACATCCAAAGACTACAATCTACAGTTAAAACTGTGCAGACGTGACCCGCGAAGCCCAATATTGTAAGAAACTTAGCAGCATAGCTTGATAACCCGAGATACCCTTTCAAAGAAGGTGGGGCACATGCTGGTGCTGAACATGATATCCTCTCTCATCCATTCTGGCGCTACTCTTTCAAATGTGCCCAAAGAAACAACATGGTACAGCAGTTCTGCTTCCTCTCCAGGAGCTTTGCTTACCCAAGTCAAACTGAAAGAATAACCTACCGTAATCACAAGCAATTGTTAGTCAGACGTCAAACGGCAATAAATTCTATGGAAAAGATAATCCGAATACTCCCCCCAGAACTTTGAGCCACTTGCAAAATTGCCCCTCAACTTTCAAGATTAGAAAATATCTTCCTTAAGTACCAACCTTCAGGATTTAAACAACCCCTTTGTCTATTTTCCCACCCATTGCATTAACAGAAATGCCATCTCAGGTTTTCTTTTCTAAACACGGAAGTGTATCATGTGACAAACAATAGAATCTAAGGAGCATCTCCATCATCGGGGTTAACTAAAGAAATGGATAGAAAGATTGAGATCCCGAAAGGTGATGGTTAGAAAAATTATTTTACAATTTTTCAAAGCTGGGAAGAAGTATTTGCGCTCAAAGTTGAAGTGCATCAGCATTTAACCAAAAAGTTATCTATGAACTACTTCTGAATTGAACTGGTTTATCCAAGAGTGGTCTGTTATCAAAACAGAAAGCGATGATGGTCTAGCTACTGAACGTCTTACTGAACCAAGGATAAAACATGCAACTCCCAATAATCGAATCGTAAAAACCTACAAGAGCAACGGATAATGAATTTCAACACTGTTCTGCTGGCTAATTGGCAGACAAAAAAGATATCCATTTCGCAGGCATCTCATATCCACCAAAGTACATTGGAATGTCTAGATCCTGGAGATAATAAAGAATCCAAGAAAGTAATCTACCAGAAACCTCTACGTATTTACATGGTACAGGAACAAGCCCATAACAGAAAATGTGACTAACCACGGCCAATCCAAAACTTCCTATTAAAAAGCAGCCATTAACAAAGTGATTATTAATTAAATAAACGGACTGTAAATCTTCAGAATCCTCCCACATAAAGTCAGATTAAAACCATGTACTCAAGCATATTAACCCACACGTCAACTCAGAATCGAACTTTGAGACATTAAATTATTAAAACCAAAATCCACTAAAAGTTCAAAATGTCAGTTCATTTAAAAAATTATAAATTGAAAAATAATAGAATTACCGCTTGACTGATGGAGGGCTGAAATGCATACTCGTTCAGTTTGATGGTCAGTGGATAATTTCATGCCCAGAACATGCTCAAAAAGAGCTTGAACTAACCAGTTTCTTTCCTGCAAATTAACACCTGTTGAAAGAAAGGGTTAACAAAGTATGCCAGTTAAAAATTCATAGGAAGCAGCATAAACTTTAACTAACAATACCAACCTGATTGGTCACCGGCCCCAGAACCACACATCAGCTGCTTTTTTACAACATAACATCAGCTCATTGAGACATTCATATTTTCCCCTCAAATGTGATAATTGAGATGCACGTACACACACACATACACACACACAAATTATAAGTGTATAACAGCACAGATGCACAAACGCATCCATGCATCAATTTTATGTTTCTCAGATGTTAAAGGCTCACCTCACCAATGGCTGTCTCATTGCATAAGTTTTGTGCTGCTGAGTCTCGTGCCACAGAATTGTTTTCAGCATTTCCACATGGTTTAGACCTATCTATTTCTTCTGATGCATCATTCCTAGTACGTTTTCTGGTCCTCCTTATGGATGAGGTAATGGATATAGCACGAAGCTCATCATCTTCATGCATTTTATTATTGATTTGCTTCAAGTTCCCAGAACTTCCATCCTGATGCAGCTTTTGGAATCTCCCAATTTCTTCAATAAGAGCCTCATCTGCCAAAAGTTCAAACTCCTAAGTCCTGAATATGAAAGAGGAATTGATAAAAATGAAAGGAAGAGAGCAGAAGGAGAGTGGATAAGGTTAACTATATAAAGCTTATAAGCAGTCTTCTATTTCCCAAGAAAACATAGTCACAATGCTATCAGAAGAGTAACTCTTACGGCACCCTTTTAATAAGGATTTAATTTAACCAGAAAGCATGAAAAGTCAAATATGGTTTTAGACAAGTGACACGCTAAGAAACTCAAGCTAGTCACATGCAACTTTTGAAAATCAAGCACTAACTAGTTTCAAACAATTATGAATTTCTCTATAAAAGCAATCATCTAGTCCAATCTGCTGAACAAGGAGAAGTGTATGATATAAGAAAATTTGCTGACCTAACCAACATCAATGATTTTTTATCATAAACAAAATAACACCAATGAATTGATTGGTTTTCTGAATAAAGAATTTTCTGCGATTAAATACAGTGTGACTAAAGCCCAAGGGAATGCAACCCATGTACAACAGAAGTCCACTATAATACTAATACCACATTAGGAAAGATTAAGGAACAAAGAACAGAGAAGCAGAAAGAAATTATGCATATTAAATTCTGGAGTTTTTTTTCACTAGGCAAAAAGATGTTTTTAAAAGGTGTGAAACTTTGTGCGGAAAATAATACATTCACTCTTTCTTATTCCACCCTATGTAATTGCCATCCACAATAAATAATAAAACGCATCTATAGAACTATAGAAACTCATGCGGCTATTATCACTTAATAAAGCAAGCAAAGTAGGTTCAAGAGCTTTGAGTAACATCAAAGAATGACTCAAGTGTCTCACTTTTCTTGCTCTCCTCCATTACAATCCTTTGATAATCAGCAACCTCTTTGTCTTTGGCAAGCCTAACATAGTTAATATACATTCAGCCCTCCCAACAAAATACATCAATATGAACAAAACAAAAACTGACCATGAAGTGAAGCAGTAAAGAAAAGAGAAAGAAAGAGCAGAGGATGGAAATGCAAGCCTTATCGAAGCCACTTCACTTCTCAAGTCATTCACTTGTTCATGCAACTGGTTATTTTCGCTCTTCAAGTGCTCTATCAAATCCTCTGCAGCTGTAATAGTGAAGTACAATAAGAGATGGCTAATACTTAGTCCAATAATGCTTAAGTTGTTTGAACCAAGAGAACCAGAAAAAGAATTCTAAATAAGAAGTACCAAATATAGAAATGATTTTGCAGAATTTAGCTGCTATGCATAGCTACTAGGCACTGCTCAATGCAATTAACTATTTCGCATCACACTTTCCAAAATTATATGCCAAAGCTAAAGAGGAAAAACAGAGGTCAGAGTCAGAAACAGAAACCAGGAATTTAAAAAGCAAAAAAAGGTTTTGCAAGACCTCCTGAACATGAGTCTTAAGAACCATTTATATAGGGCTGAAATTCAAAATGTATTACATATTCTTGGCACACTCATATTATCATAAATTTATAATTATACTCGTGGCCTTCAGAAACTTCAAGAAAGGAATGTATGTGACAAGCATAAGAAAATACATACCAGACATGAACTTCATAAATTTAACTTCTTGATCTTTATTTATCTGATCAAACTCAGAAAGTTTCTTAGCCTGGAAAAAGAAAAGAAAATTACGAATCAATAACAAAACCAAACTCATGTTTGTTTGGCAAATCACTCACCAAATGAAATATCAATTTTATTCACCCACGTTCATCTCAAAGCTTTAATTCAAACCCAAACGCAATGTTTATGTAATTTTCTGAAGTAGCGAATGAATTTTTTTAAAAAGATTGAACATCAAAATCAAACACCTCAAAACATATTTGCTTGATCCTTTGAGGTTATTTAACTATAAATGACATTAAAAAAACGGTGAATGAGAAGCTACAAAACTAGGAACTTAGAGTTAGCACCAACAAAGGGGGAGTCAAACACCTTTAGCTTGGTATACTTGTCGTAGAGCTTGGAGTACAGGGCCTCCATTTATGAATGGTAACTGCCGCTGCTGCTGTCTTGGAAGAAACCCAAAGTAGCTGGGATCAGAGTATCAATCAGAACCAATGAGATTTCAATCAGTAAGCATCAGCTAGTAGCTGCTGCAGTTTCCTACGGTATGGTCTGACATAAAATTAGCAACACAATTATATTCATGGCATCTTGAATTTGAAATGAAATTTAAGAAATGGGAAATAGAAGAAAGCCCATAATAGTCCAGACAAAACATGGTCAGTCGGGAAATAGAAAAATACAATCAACTGCAGAAAAAACTTCCAAGTTCCAAGTTCCAACTCCAACGAGGACTTATTATGCTTTGAGATAGGTCAAAATTATTCCAAGATAACATTCAACTAGCAGGTTCCGTTAGACGCATGTTGAGTATGCACGATAATCACCCAACTCGCTAGCATAACATCCTCCAAATAGGCCTACTCATTCAACAAAAGGTGACATATGCCAATTAAGTCTGTTGTCATCTTATGCTTATGCCCTTTATAAAGAATGGAAAATTAATGTTTTAGCTTTCAGCAATTCTGGAAACATGGTTTTTAATTAGTTTTAATATTATACAGAACGATAATAGCAAATGAATCAGAGCCAGGTATGAGTGAAAAAGAAAAATCATGAAAGTTTTGTCTTTCAGAAAAGATATAACTCTAGTGTCGAAAATGTTTACTTGGGTCAAGTTGTCAACAATGAAAATGAGGCAAATGCTTTATATACAAAATATGAGCATCAATTGGTTTTTTTGGGCAAGAAAATGGAAACAAACCTATTTTTTAAAAATAGAAAGATGCCTATAAGGGAGTATGTGTGTTCAAAGAAAGGGTTTAAATATTTAGACGAAGGTAGCAGTAGTTCGTTTATTAGAATGAATGCAAGAACAAATTGTCAAGCCATGGTTCAGTTTACTTTCCAATTGGATGATATGTGGAAGATTACTAAGTTGATTATTGAGCATAACAATAAATTTGTAAAATAAGAGGATAGGCACCTTATGTGTTGTGCTAGAAATATTCCTATAGTTAAGGGTAAATTTAATAATCTCCGATAACTACTAGAATTAGACTAAAGATGTGCAGAGTTATAATGGATTTTCAAAAAAAGATTATTATAATAATGTCACAAGGCAACAATTGAAATTGAAACACGCCAAGGATGGAAAAATAGCTAATCTCTTACAAAATCATTAGACTGAAGATCCAATGTTTTACTATAGTGTTCAATTTGACAAAGAAAATGGTTTTTTGGAGGAATGAGAAGTTAACAATTGATTATAATTAATATGGGGTTTTCAACACGACTTATTTTACAAATAAGTATGATTTAATTTGTGGACCATTTGTTGGGATAAATCATCATTGGCAAAATGTAATATTTACTTGTGCTTTTTTTATGAATGAATCAACAAAGTCCTTTGAATGATTATTTTAACAATTTCTAAAATCTATGGAGAATCGATTGCCACAAACTATTGTCACTCATCAGGATGCCACTGCAGTAAAGCAATTGAAAAAATATTTCTTCATACATAGCATCTCTTCCTATCCCGTGGATTTTAAAAATGGCTCCACCAATCAAAAGACCTTGTTGATTCATTCATCACAAAAAACATAACCAAACATTGCAATTTACTAATGATGATTTATCCCAATATATGGTTCACAAATTAAATTATACTTTATTGTATGATAAATTGTTTCAAAAGCAACTACAGCCCTAAAACAATCATAATCAGTTGTTGATCTCCCATCCTTCAAAAAAAACTTGTCAAACATAATTTTTGGTTAAATTAAAGACTACAGTAAAATATTGAATCTTCAGCTTGAAGACTTTGTAAGAGATTAACTAAATTTTTTTCATCCCTGGCTTTTATCTTTAATTTTGCCCGTTGATATAATTATAAGAATTTTTTCCAAAAATCCAATATTATCAAAACCATGTATTTGTTCTCCTAAATAATTTTACACATCCTTACTTCTAATTCTAACAATCACCATAGAACTAATAAACTCACCTTTAGCAGTAGGAATATTCATAGCATACTGCATAACTCTTGTTTTGCATATTTAAAGTTATGCTTAGTGATCAACTTAATGATCTTTCACAGACCATCTAATTGAACAATAAACGAAACCATGACTTGACAATTTGTCCTTGTATTCATCCTTGTAAATAAACGACTGCTACTTTCTTTTAAAATTAGACCCTTCTTTTGATAACACATAGTCCTTAGTATGAATCTCTTTAATTCCAATAACATATCTTTGTTTTCATTTCCTTATAGAAAAACTTATGTGATGCATATTTTGTGTATAAAGCATAAGTCTCATCTTCATTATCTACAACTAGACTCAAGTAAATATTTTCAATATTAGAGTTATTTATCTCTACAAAGATGAAACATGCCATTGATTTTGGTTTTCCTCATATACTATTTTGATTCTGTACAATAATAAAACTAATTCATAATAAAAGTTGATAAAATAAAAAACACAAAAACAATACATCAGAATTGCTGTTTTTTAGGGAAAAAGATCACAAATACTCCTTTTACTAGGGAAAGGATTTCAATGATAATAACTACAATAAAAGTTTAGTACAAAAACCCAATAATAAACAAGTCTAAGAGCTAGAGCAATAAAACAGCATGTATAAATTAACCAATGCCAAATACTTTAACCCAACCTATCAATGGACATGCCAATCATCATCACATGCAGAGTCTGAAGACCAATTTATGAACACCAAATGATATTATAAGCATAACCAATTGACTTCGAGAACCAATCAGCAAAGAATCATTCAGAAGCATTCATGTGAATGAGCTCAGACCACACAAACCTTAGATTGACGAGCCACCATAACAATAAATAACTTCACATACCTCAGATATGATCCCAACCGACCTACACAGCATTCGTCTCCTCTATCTCGAAATCGCGCTTGATCGCCCTGAGAGAGGGCAAATCGAACAAATTAATATGGGGGAAAGGGTCTTTGTATGGAGGCGAAGAGCCTGCAATCGTTCGAGCCTCGGACCCTTTGCGCAACACCTTCGCTGCTCAGAAAACCCGAGCGCACTCGGCGGAGCTCAGTGGCGGGAGTGAGGGACTTTTGCGCGCTTCGAAATTTGAGTTAAAGATTCTTTTATTATTATTATTATTATTATTTTGGTGAGAAATTGAACCGTTGCTTAACTCTGATCTGTACTTTTTCCTGTGACCCGCGTGGGGAAAGCAACCATAGGACCGCTGATAATGATAAATAGATAATTGAGAAAATAATTTTTCAAAAAACTAAAAATTATTAAATTTTAAATTAGATTTAGTAACAACACTTTATTTAATATTAATAACATTGAATTTATAAATAATAAAAAAATTTATTAAAATTTTATATTTAATATTTAGTAATTTTGAATTTCTTTTTTATCATTTTTTTAAAAGTAATTTGACAAAAGCTGACAAAAACAAAATGACAAAAGAACAGCTAGAATATTTCGACTCCTATCAAAATCATTCTAGTAAAAAATTTCAGATCCTTTTTTCTTTTAGCCAAAACATTAAAGATCCTTAAACATGTAGAATTTAAAAATTAAATTGAATTTCTTACATATTATGAGAATTCACTTCCATACATCTATCAAATAAAATTCTTAGAATTTAGATAAAATTAAGATTTTGAAACTTATTTTATGATATTTCCAACTCAAGGGCTATTTGAGTTTCAAGAAAAGTATTTTTTAACGAGCACTTTTTTTGTAAATCGAAATAGATTCTTCTACATATTTATTTTATATGCTGTAAAATTATTTTTAAAATCATGATTTTAATTCCATCAAAACATTTCTTATTAGGGTGCACTTGGAAATATGTAATTGGCCTTGTATCATAAAAAATTTAACTTATGATGATGGTAAAAGCCAATAATCTAGCAAATTCAATTCACAAAGGCTTGATCCCTTAGATTAGGTTATTATTTTGGGCTAAATGCATCCTGATTTGATCCGAATATATGATTAATTTGATGTGGTTTGATTTTATACATCACACCGCCCAAACAGATAATCAACCCAATCTAGGTCAATCTAGATATAACTCCTTTTGCTTTCTGAACCTTTATTATTAGATTTTTTTTTTTAATAATGGTTGATCACATAACTCACCGTTCCTCTAATTCTTGAACCATGGTTCCTTCAATATTTTCTTGGCAAAATCAAAGGGTCTTTAATTTAAGTTTTGATGATATGGGGGGAAAAAAGAATGACATGTTCATTTGGATTTAACAAATTTTATATATTGCAAATAATGTTGAGCTTAGAACTTTTGTAAAGAGCAATAGTTTAAAGACATTTATGATGGTTTTAAAAATAATTTTTAACAAAGAAAGTGCCTAAAGTATTTGGGAAATCTTAAAATGGAATTAAAATCAAAGATATGTTAATCTTACCTTCTCTCCAACAAAAAAAAAAAACTGACCAATCAACTTCTTAATTATTGTATTATAATAACCGTACGAAATGACGAAAATAAAATAAGGTGTGTGTAGATGTCCAAAAGTTTAAACTTTCCAAATATATCAAAGAAAAACCTTTTTGCATTAATTAATCAAATTATGTGTTGTTGTTCACAAAAGTTGGATCGGCCAAATTCTTGAATGATTAACATCCTTATTAATCATTTAACCATGTTTGGACAATAACGGCTTAAACAAGTTATTTGATTCACATATGCTTTAGATGTCAAGTCTGCATATATCTATTTTTTTTTTTAGGAAAAATATTATAGAAGTAGGAGAAAAGCACACCGAGTCTAATTCATATTCAATTTCAAATAAAACCATTGAAGCTTCATAGACTAACCAGGCTGATAAGGTAGATTTAAAAAAAAAAGAAAAAAAGAAAAAAATGGGAGTAAGGAGGTGTTTGGCTACTACATATTTCTGCAAATCGAAATAAACTTTTCTACATATTTATTTCGTATATCATAAAATTACCTTTAAAACAATAATTTGATTTTCACCTAAACACCTCATAAGCTTAAAAAACCCAATGAGACAAATAACTGAGAAGACACTTCCATTCATAGGGAAGTAACAATATGTTACAATGATATAATCTCTCACGTTTTAGTTAACTTTTCCGTCGTATATTCTAGATGCCAAGAAATATTTTTTTATTTCATCTAAATTAACATTACTGTAATAAAATGTGACATCAAACAACAATAGTTAAATACTTAAATTAATTTATATATTAATTAAAAAATCCTAATTAAAATTACTCGACTAAGAGTGAACCTCTTTACAATGTTGATCAATCAAGTACTTTAAAACCATAAAAAACCTCAACTTTCATCAATCAAACAAGGCTTATTGCTTACTAGTTGTCTTGATTCTAAACCCGAACTAAGATCCTATCAGGATTTTAATTAATAAATAATCAAGCATTAATTAATTACGTCTCATGAAGACTTTGTCAAAATTTTGATAATTCAATAGGAAACTTGCTTATTGATTACCAAATGAAAAGGATTCAAACCGCTCGATCAATGTGCACCGATTATATTTTCAAAGGCCTCTCGAGAGTTTATTTTAACTAAAATCAATTATGAGAGCATCAATTATGTTTTTCCCAACTAATAGCCTCCACATGCATTTAAATTAGCATTGCATAAAACAGAGCTTATAAAATTGATTTATAAGCCTAATTGATTTGAAAAATAGGGTGTTTGTTGAATTTTTATAAAAGTATGATTAAAAAGCAAGTAATAATAACTTATGAAATATCCATAATTTTTTATTCATAATTAATTTAGGTGTGTCAAATGCAAGCGTTGAGAGCTAACTGATCCACAGTCTTTCTTAGGGCCTGTTTGGCAAGCACCCCAAACCATGGTTTTGGGCTGACATTTTTCCCAAGGTTTTGGGACCCAAAACCTTGGGAAAAATGTTAGCCAAACAGTCCCTGAAAATATGAAACCATGGTTTTGAACCCCCAAACCATGGTTTTATCAGAAGCATATCAAAGTTGCTTCTTGGCTCCAATTATTGGAAGCTTACAGTGGGCCCATCATAGATGACCAAATAGCCCCGACTCAAATAATTGCTCTTCCTTTCCTCCTTTACTCTTTCCCCAGTCAGTCTAGTTCAAAGTTTCATTCCCCAGTTGGTCCACGCATTTGCTCTTCCTTTCCTCCTTCGCTTTTTCCTCCTTCACAGAACGAGTCGCCGCCAATAAAGAAGTCGCCGTCCAGTCACGGTTTGAAGGTGCCGGTGAGAGAAATCACAGCTCTACAGAAGAAGATTGCAGCTATCAGTTGTGAGTTCCGTCCATTGTTTCCTGGGGTTCGTCCGCTGTGAAGCATTCGACGATGGTCAGTGTTCCCTGGCTTAGATCCGACGCTCAGGTAAGGTGTCTCCTCTTGAAAAATCAATTCTTCCCTCATGCGTTTTCTTCTTCTCCATGGAGTTGAAATGCTCCCTACTCTTATCCTCTGCTAACTTTCTCGATGCTTTTGGAGTTTTCATCCTCTTCTGTTAATTTCAGTGTCAATTTAGCTCAATTTTTGTTTCAGTATTTGTGGATTCTAGATCATATTTGTAATTGCAAATTTGCAACTTGTAAGCCAAAACCAGAGCCGCCTCTGTTTCTTCCTCTACGTGTTGCGACACCATATATAATCTTCCATGACACTTCATTTTCGACCTTCTTCTGCTTCTGGGTAGATTTGCTTTTGTTAATTACAATCTGGGGTTGAGCCTGATTTATGGTATTTTTAGTTGGTTTATGCGTGTCAACATGCTCTGGTGGATTTTTTTTTGGTTGTGAGATCTGTTTATCTAGCTCCACATCTCTCTTTACTTCGTTCTTGCTCCTTCATAGGACTCTCATACGCACAAATATACCAAATGCAAATCTAATCAAATCTTTGTATTTAATGTTTGAATCATGATAACAAAAATGTTCAACATTCATAATTTCTGTCGCATCACAGTTGGTCGTCTGACCGTAGTTAATTTTTTTTTTTAGTGCTGGCTTAGGGTGTTTGGTTGGTGTTGATTTTGCTTGGTTGATAGTTGTGGCTGGCGTTTTGCTTTAATGGTGGGTTGATTTTCATTTGTGTAGCTTGGTTTATCTGATTTCGGTTTGCTTCCTTTGTTGAAACCGAAACATTGTGCTACTTTTAGGGATGGTCTTTGCTTTCGGGGTCAGAGGACTGGTTTTCAGTCCATATAGTTGACTAGTTTTTTTAGAGACATATATTTGTAATCCTTATATTTTATTTTTTGTAATCCTGTTTTGAATGAACTTATAAGATGTTGTATTTGTGGTAATTAAAATTAATTTATTTAATTTTTTTCTGGTCAAGAAAGGAATGGGAACTTAGTTTCATTTTATGTTGGATTAAAGAAATTAATTACATATTATAAATACATAGATTGAATTTCTTTTTGTTTTAAATAATAATGAAGGAAAGAAAAATGTTAATATGGTATTTATAGCTGATTTGGGTAACAATGACACTTGTTATTTCAATTGATTTTGAGTTGATTAACCTGTGATGACTGAAGAGCTGTAATTGTGCTATAGTATAATGGGTAAGGATACGGTGAAAGCTTCCTGGGACCTATAAACCACAAAAGTGTTTATTGACCTATGCATTGAACTAGTGCAACAAGGGGAGAGAAAAGGTACAGGCTTAACAAAGAAAGCTTGGGATATTCTTAGTGATAAGTTTACTACCAAAACTGGGAGAGTGTACACAAAACCTTAATTTAAGAACAAATATGATTCCCTTTGAAAGGAGTGGCAGACATGGGATAGGCTGCTTCGTGAGACAGGTTTGGGATGGGATACTGAAAGGAATACTATCAGTGCAACTGATGATTGATGGGAGAAGAAAATAATGGTAATTATTGAACCTTTTGATCTTACATTTTCTTTGCCTGTTAATTTTTTTTGTATATTTCATGTTTTTGTCTAATGTGCAGGAAGTTCCAAACTACGAAAAATTCAAAGAAAGAGGACTTCAATTTAGGGATCAATTAACTCAACTGTTTGGGAGTGTGGCTGCAATTGGACCACAAGCATAAGCAACTTCTTCCA